AGGAATGTTTAATTAAAATTCTTTTACAAGTATGATAATTGGCGAAAACAGTAAACTGTCGTTGAAAAGATAGCAAATTGAATGTTTCTCAAGGGTATACTTTTGATTTCTTAGTTTGCAAAAAATTGTACAGAGGAGACATTATTTTGAATTTGTTCTGCAAACGAAGAAACGTTTTAGCACTGAATTTTACTTTGCTATTTTATTATATGTTATTGTTAAGTAATCAACGCCTGAACAAGAGAGACAATCTTGACAAAAATGTAATGGCTGCCTTTCTCTGTAGGCCTTTAAGAATATTATTACAATCGCATCGCGGGTTTACTTAGTGTCATCTATTGATCAGCGTTAAGAATCAAAACAAGCGTCCGAATAAGCGGAGTTATGATTGCGACAATTCTTTGTATGAGATTAGGCATCTGTACTAGTATAGTATTATATTAGCTGTGTATCTAGTAAAAAAATTGAGGCTAGTTAATTTTTTCTGGGAATAAAGTACCAAGCTCCATACCAATTTGTTACAAGTCTTTTACCAAAAGATTTCGTTGTGCTATCTAACATTTTGTAGATTTGTATTTGGTAGTAAGGTTGTAAGTTAAAAAGCGTATCAGACTGCTATTTACGCTAGCGCTCTCTTTTATTACCGCATTTAAATATTTTTACTTTTGCAGGAAAGTAACAGAATGGAAGCAAATTTTTAGAACCATGGCATAATATACGGAGGGGAAGAAGAAAAGGCGGAAACTCATCTCTGGAGCTGTCAGTACCTCCGAGAGGAGTAGACCAGTGCGACGAGGACGGCTTCAAAAAGGTGGAAAAGTAAAAGAAGTACACTAGCCGTAACCTTAGTGGCACCGCCCCGACTGGCCCCAACCATCTATTGCATCAAGCGGTACCGAGGACGTTGCTAAACGTGGCACGACTTCATTACTCCACAAAGTCTGCGGATATTCTGGAGTACATACGGTTGAAAGCCAAAGCTGCCCTGAGGGTCGAGCAGTTGGAGTCCCGCCACAAGGTGAATTTTAATTCATTTGTGGTGAGAGTACCAACTCAACAACTGTCGACCTTCATGAAGGAGGACTTTTGGCCGAAGGGTGTCATGTACCGGTGTTTCCGAGGACGGCTATCGGACACCCACGTTGCGTCACACGTCGCGATCCGTACGTGTAAATAAATAAATATTTTTTGTCATATTATTACGTATGTTAGTGTATAAGGTACGTGTTTTATAGATCATATTATTTATTATTTTTATAGGTAGGTTAAATTATGAAACCAAAACTGTATACATTTATTTAGTTATTATACAGCTACTTGAATGGTAAAATCGATGGGAGTTATTGGAATCTTTCTAGTTATTCTATGATATTTTAAAGTAAATATACAAGATAACCACAAACACAAAACAACACTTTCGTAATACAGAGGCAACTCTATTACGAAAGAGTTTAATCGATGTGAAAATTACTAGTGAAATTTGTTTTTTCTTTAGGCAAGTCAAAAAGATGTCAACGCCCACCACCATACAAAATAATTTAAAACATATATAGTTTATCTCCAATATTTCGCTATACTTGTATGTCATTCGTATACGATTTAATTTCAAAGTTACAGGACAACTAACATAGTGTTATCTTAAAATTGCTTTAAGTTATATTAATATTACCTATGCAATTTCAAAGCGACAGTGTTGTCCTGTAACTTTGAAATTAAATCGTAAACCAATGACATACAAGTATAGTGAAATTTTGGAGATAAAGTAAGATGAAATATAATATAACGCAATTGTATATTATTGAGATAATACTATGTTACGGTTACCTATCAGTACTCCGAAATGACATTTTCCAGAAGTAACGTTTGCTCGAATTTACATAACCTCGAAAGTAATTTTGAGAGGAAAATGTTTTTTCTTTTAAAGCTAACTTAACTGAAAGAACAACTGTTTCGTTATAATTCGGTTTTCGGTGTAATGACAATTCGAACAAAGTTATTTCGGAAAAAAATGTCGAGTTTGTGATAGGTTACCCTATGTTAGTAGTCAAGTGCGATATGTATTGTGGTCTATGTAGATAATTCAGGTTTTTTTTCTTTCAAAGGCGGTAGCACGTCCTGGACGGCATCACCGCCCCACCAATTGTTTCCGAGGAGTCGTTAGCGTCCACTGGGGGGCAGTAGGGACCACTTTGGGAAACTATGAAACGATGATGATGACATGACGAAGTCAGTTTACAAACCTTTGCTGATGCGGCCCGTGATGCCCGAGATGCGGCGGTGCCGAGGGCGAGGGGCTGCCGACAGCGCCGCCAGCGCCCGACGGACCCGGTCCGCACGCCAACCCACCTAAAGACATGGGCGATGCCAGGGCTCCGCCGCCGCCCATCACCCCTGTATCAACGATAGCCATGTCTTTTTAAAGCGTTTGATAATTGTTCACATAAAAAAAATATTGCTCATAATTAATTCACATAATTGACCCCATACTGATTACTTTTCGGATTTATAATTATGCCCGAAATATGGCCAACTCATTAATACAACCTTGGATTGACAAGATAAAAATTAAACACAATAAGCAGAGGGTGAAATAACAGAATATTGTGTATTAGGGCGGTAAATAAAGAATTACGAGGGAGACTCTATTAGACTCTAACAGGCACCCAAGTTCGTAATTCTTGTACCGCCCGTAAAACATACAATGTTTTTCATCACACTTACACGTAAATAGTATGATTGCATGTAGGCTAACTTTAGTCTTTTAAAATAAAGTTGGGGTAGTGTTCATTGGAGGTATCGCACTTGCACGTATTTACATGATGAAAAAATATTACATACAAGCATTGACTTACAAATAAATGGACGACGGGTCTAATACAAAAACCACGAAAAAAATGTCCCAAGTCAACCTATTCGAAATTTAAATTGTAATGTCATCGCAGTATCGCGCTGTCAGTCGAACAAATGAAGACTAAAGCGGAGTTTGGCGCTCTGTATACGATTTTAGCGCCTTGCAAGTGCGGATACTTTTTAGCGCGGACCCGACGTCCATATAATTGTAAGTCAATGCATACAAGGCAAAAAGTTGACCTCGGTGGCCTTGTGTTGTTTTGCACTGTGAGCGTTGGATAAGAAAGTCCCGGCTGCGATTCCCAATAGAACGCATTCAGGCAATGAGCTTTTTAAAATTGTTTATTGAGTGTACTGTGACGAATTGCCTAGTATTGAGACCAGGTAACTGATGTGGTTACATTATGATTATTATAGTTATATTAAACCTTCATAAATAAAAGTTAAGTAGAACCAGTTACACATATACATAAGTAAAAGCTTCGTCAGACAGAACGCCGCCACCCAATAATCGCATCGCAAGAATATTCTATTTAATTTAACCTTAAGTTAGAAGTGATAATTATATCAAAGTTCGTATGAAGATAATTTACCCATAGATACAGGACTAGGTCCTCCCATAGGTGAAGGCGCAGACGGCGAAGGACTCTGACGCAGGAACTGATTGGGAGCTGGAGCCCTGTTGGGCGGGTAGCCCGCGCCCAACATCGAGGCCACCTCGGGCTTGTTCTGCACCCGCCCTTGCATGTGCAGCATGTTCATCATTTGCGTGTTGCCCATGCCTGATATAAAATCATTCAAAGTTATAATCTACATATCTTAAAATGTAAATAGTTTCAACATGACACAGTTTGGGCACTGCAAAAACATATAACATATAAAAACAGAATGTTATATACTTTGGTACATTCATCGTTGTGAATTTGACTCTACATAGAAGAGGGATGGAAATAATTGCAGTAAATGTTAATTGCTTACCCATTTGTCCAGGTCCCATCTGTCCCTGCATAGTATTAGGATTCATCTGCCCGCCCATGCCTCCAACAACCTGGTTGCACGGCATCTGTCCCATAGAGTTACTCACACTCATTGGCACCTGCATTGCGTTTGGCATTGACATATTTGGCATCATCTGACCTTGCATACCTGGCCCTGCCAATTGACTCTGCAGCTGACTTCCCATAGGGTTCCCCATCCCCATTTGTCCAACCATATTATTTCCCATCTGTCCCTGATTGGGTACCATTCCAATGGCACTAATTTTGTTAGGCAACTGCATGTTCAACTGTGGTCTATTCAGGGTCTGGAGTAAATTTGTAGCAGGTTGTGCTTGAGGTCCTTGGGAAACTATAGGGCCCTGTTGTCCCATTTGGGCTTGAAGACCCATACCAGGATTGGGCCCTAGTTGTTGTTGCATTTGACCCTGAGGGCCCATGTTCATCATTTGGTTCCTGGAGCCTTGAGATGCGAGGGTCTGTAAAGCATTGATGGGGTCTGGGGCCATGCCAGATTGAGCATTGGGTCTCTGAGGAGCCTGCTGGTTTTGGACTTGGGCATTTGGGCCCTGCTGGCTTTGATTGGGGCCTTGCATGTTTGGTGCTCCTTGGTTTTGCTTTGGTTGGGCTGAAAAGTAAATATTTAAAAAAACACATTAATACTAAATTAAACAAATTTACAGCAATATTTATATAGTTATGAGTTAACAAAGAAAGAGTTTAGTATGGGAATTATGTCCTGATGTATGGCGACTATAGAAATATGACCATTATGTCAATTTCATTTTACTTATTTTTTGTTTAATTTTTAAAGTAACATGCAAGTAATGGTTTAACAACTTTTTTATCTTGTTTTCTTGTTAAAAAAAGAGTTATAGGTTATTAAGAGTTATATACTACACAAAATTACAATTATGAATGGCTGGATTCAAAAATTAATTCATAATCAATTAATCACCTAATTACGTTACATGCTTTTATGTGAGATGGATGAGACAGCCTAACAAAATGGTATTTAAACAGTTAAGGGTTGAAGCGGCGAACTGGGTCTACTGAATAATTGTGTAGAATAATTGTATAGAATAATGGTATAGAATAATTTTATTTTTGTTAATTATTATTATTATTTTCATCGGTCATAGTCTTTAATTTGATGTTTCTTTGCGTTTTGTGTGTGTGATCGACCACATAGATCTGCCATGGCCGGGTCTGGCTCAAAATCAGGATTTCAAAATTTCTCTGAGCGGACACGAGTCAATCACAAATCAATACACATATTTAAGTGATCATTTATAAATATTTCTGTAAATTCTGCATACTTTTTTCTCTTTTCTGTAACTTTCTTTTATTTGTGTGTGGTAAAATAAATGGTTTAAATGAACAATCAAATCAAGACCTCAACTTAGTGGGGAATATAATGTCACTGTAGGGCAAAAGTCACTATGTTACAAATGGCCAAAGTGATTTTTCACTCTACAGTGACAAAAACCACAATCCAAGTAGGTATTATAATAGGAGAAAATTTGCATAAACAGATAGTTACAGTACAGATAAAAGTACAGAGTATGTTAAATATTGTCACTTAGCAAACAACACCACACAAGTATTTTGGAGTAATTTTAAAGGAGAGTGGAAAACTCCACTAATATTGTTGCATATAAGATTTACTTATCTATTATTGGTAATAAGTGTTCTCTTTATGGATTACACATAATTGTACATGAGTTGGTTGTAAAATTGTTATTGACATTTTATTTGGACTTGAGTATCACTCAAATGTAAAAATCGCCAATTTTCCACTTGAGTGGTATTGTCTGCTAAGCAATGATACGCAAAAAACTTATTTGTTTGTCAGCAATAGTTTGCACTTAGCGACCAATGGTGTAAATGACAGACTATGGTGCTATCTGTGGCTTCATAAGGGTAGTTAAAAGTCAGTTTCAACAAGTGTCGTTTCATAGTAGGATTAACCAGTTGTTTTGTTGATGGAAAATCACAGCAAGCAAGATTGAGTTATTTCTTCACAACATTTTATAAGTGTGTCATTACGATATAGAGGTCTTAGGTTTTCGCAATTGTTACGCATAGGAAATTAAATTCTTTTTCTGGATTGAAATTGTTAAAAGCGTATATTTGTTTACAAACATGACTATACCACCTCAATCAACCGTGACCATGGGACCTGTAAAAGGCCCAAAATGTTGGTTTCTTTGAAAAAACAAATATACGCGATTTAAATATGGTAAAATAGTTGAATTTCCTGTGTCATTACAAACTTAGATGTTATAGACATTGCCTGATACTTACACATTTCCCTTACATGGAGAATGAGTTTGGCGACCATGTTCATGTATTCTTCCCGTGTCTTCGCTTTCATGAACACATGGTTCTCCATCTCACTGCTGTTACGCGCCACCTGCATGCCGGACCGCTGGATCACTTCCTCGCTGTAATATATTTTAATTATTTTGCGAGACAACTATGGTACCAGAGCAGGAATTCACTCTGGGGCACTGCATGTAACACCCAGACGTGAACCAATTAGAAAAGGTCATTTTCAAATTGGTCCAACCGGGAATCGAACCCGGGATTTCTTCATCCAGCGCCCACTGTGTGAATTGTTAAAAACATTAAGTAGAAATGAGCAAACATTGCAAGAAGCAGATGTTTCCTGTGAGTTAACGCTAATTACTGATAACGATGTCATTGTATCAAAGACATGAGTTTTGTTTAGAAATTGTAGACTGACGTCAACTTGGACGATATACCGTGTTATGGACAGACTTCTCAAATTTATTTCATTGATTATGATTTAATTCCCGTTGTATAATCATAATATATATGTGGAAGGGAATGTTCCAGGTTTAATTATAAATAACAAGCGAAGTCTTGTAAATTTCGAACTTACATTTTCGATACAACTGTCTGTCGAAAATTCGGGGTCCGCCAATTGTCATCTGTTCCGATAACATTAAATTGCTTTAGCTGATTATCCATTTTTTATGAATAATCAGCAACAACAAGCAACAACACGGTATAAAACTAATTAATTTCCGTAAAAAACTTCACAAACAAGCGTTTTCAGATTATGACGTTTATCTATAAACCACTCATTCACTCACAGGCCATTATCGACCGTAAAGTCGCTTTGTGCTTGCAAAATCGTCGGTCCGAGTTGATTGGGTGAGAAAGCTTTTGTTGAATTTAAATTAGAGAATTCGTTTTGACAAGTAGCAACACTAAATTTCTTCTACTTCTGTCTTTGGATTGGTCCCTGTATACTCTCGCGCTATTACATTAAGATACTAAAGCCCACGAAAGAATAAAGAATGGAAGTGCCATTTAGTCTCGATTATTATCAGAACCACTGTCGTCAAAAGGCACACAAACAAATAATAAACACCGAAAACTTGATAATGATTGATCGTAATTTCTAATTCAAAAAGATGTAACAATTTTTGGACTGCTAGCATTGACTTACAAATAAATGGACGACGGGTCTAATACAAAAACCACGAAAAAAATGTACCAAGTCAACCTATTTAAACGTAGTGACATGTAAAGGAATATGAAAAAGCTAAAACGTTGAATTTAAATTGTAATGTCATCGCAGTACTGTCTAATTTTGCTTGCTTCGCTGTCATCGAACAAACGAAGACTAAAGCGTGAATGACGCTCTGTATACGATTTTAACGCCCTATAAGTTCGGACACTTTTTAGCGCGGACCCGACGTCCATATAATTGTAAGTCAATGACTGCTAGTATAATATTTAAACTTACCCAATCGCTGTATCGTTGAAAGTCCAATAACTTTATTGTAAGTTATGACGTTTTGATTTTATATGGAAATTTTATTGAACGTGCTGCCATCTGCCAGTAGATGAAACTACGACGAACGACTAACATCTGAACGGATAGAAAGTAGTATCTGCTCGATAACAGATATCTTCTTTAACGCACACATTACAATGAACTTTATTTCGATCAATTAAGTTTAAACGTGGAAAATTCGAAATGTTTACTAAGTTCTCTAAAGAATAAAACTCGACCATATTGCTTTGGGATAATGTTTGCTTTCATTTGTTAAAGTCCAAAAATCAATACGAGAAACAGAAAATTGAAAAGTTACTAAAGGTTTACCGATGCCATGATATGAAACACCACCACGGAAGTATTTTTGATGCGGCTAGCATTTTCACATAACAAAACAGCACAATAAGGCTTTTGTCTACGATTTTAGAGAATTTGAACTAAAGAATTACCGCAACCATGACGTATGAAGCGAAAATGAGGGAGTGAGCTCATGTACCTACATGGAACTACGCCTGTAATGGGCACCGTGTACACTAAAGCTAACTAACCACTTCAACTGTATTTATTATTCTGACTTCCAAACTCTAACTCAATCAACTTATAGTCAAGATCACGTCAAGCTTGACACTTTGTACTTTGGACCGTTCTTATCGTTAGCGGCGTAGAGTTAGATTAAATTCTTAAGTGTCAAACTTGGCGTGCTCTTGACCCTGTACAACAGGCTGTACCAACAGGCTGCGTAGCAGAATTTGAAAAATAAAAGGTATTCATCACAATATTGTGATGAGAATATTCTTGTGCAGTATTGAAATAACTTTTGTCAGATGCAGTATTTCCATATTATTATTGATAGTATTCCTGCATCGCATCGCGGATTTTTATCTCAGTTATAGGAGTATGATCATCAAGCAGCAATAACATTTTATTTGAAATATTGTAGATACCGAACGAACGCTTCAATTCAATAAAAAATGACGCGTATCACCCAACTGTGCAATTCGAGTTCACCGGGAATATGCGAATGTGTGCGACCGTAGCCGGCGATTTATGATACTCATATACGCTTGAATTTGATTTGATATTATTTTGTAGTGAGGAATAAACAATAATTGTTAATTATTATTAAATTTTACTTAGAAATAAAAACCACCATCCAGGGATCAATCTGATTAAACAATTGGGAGAAACACAGGGTTGCCGGTTGTCATAACATGTTTTTACCTAAAATTCAGTAAATTGCTTTCGCATCCTGCCCGGACTAGAACGATCGGAGCACAGTGGCATGGCATGGCGGTTTTAATGGTAGGTTGGCAAGATTTATAGTTTCCTCTGAAGCTCGTCTCGTTTATGAAAATAAATATAAAACAATTGTTACCATTTAATGCAGATCTTAATCTCCATAATTAGATTTTATTGAAATTTCAGTACTAAATTTATAAATTGCGTTATCTAACTTCATAGTTGTTTTAACTGCAACTAATAAGCATATTGTCCACGATCCTGTAGTTGCTGTTTTATCCTGTTACTATTATATTTAATCAATTTATTTGGAGCGCTGATTTTGAATTATATAATATGGCCGGATATTGTTCTACTATCTGGTATCCGGCCGGATTGTAAAATTAGGTCGTATAGGCCAGATACCGGATAGTTATCGGATATCCGTTTCATTTCTACTTAATAGATAATCATGTCTTCAGCATAATCTCAGTACAGAGTACCTACTAAAAAAACCGACCTCAAAAGTACGTGGAATAGTACGTCTATTTGCTAAGTTTTATTGAAATGTCCCCTAATTCGCCACTATACAGGACTGGAGATAATAATAATCGGTTCTCCCTACTCAAAGTATATAGAGAGAAAAACGCCTTGAATTGGAGAAATAGCAAAATCAACCATTAAAATAATTGCTCCTAAATTAAAGTTAGGCGCTATTTATAAAAACGAATCCTCATGCGTGAACAGCCACCCTTAAAGGTGAATGATTTTCTTCAAAATGAAGTGGGACCACTATGGAAGTACCCCCTTTCCAACAAAAAAATGAAAATCGGTTCACAAATACCGGAGTTATCGCGTAACATATGTACAAAAAAAAGAAACTTACAGTCGAATTGAGAACCTCCTCTTTTTTTGAAGGCGGTTAAAAATAATTTATCCTTTCTATCACTTTAATATAATTGTGTATATCTCTATACAAAGTTGTATTTAAATATTATTCTATATCTTTTACAAATTACAAAATACTAAGCAATCAAATATTAACTCACACTTTCTCATAAATAAAGCATGACACTGGATGTCATAGCCAAATATTCTTCTGAAGTGATCTTCAGGGAAATATAAACTTCCATTCACTGAAATTGACTAAAAAACGCTTCGTTGTTTATTGCGCGATACATTTACATTTTATTAAACGAAAAAATAAGTAGGAAAGTTATTTCGCTTTTTAATTGAATGCAAACAAGTTATAAGCGGAGTCGTATTTATTATAATAATATAATGAATGCGAAAATTGCATAGTTTTTTTTTTAGAGTAGCAATATTCAATAAAAGAAATGTGATGGAATGAGTGAAGAAGAATGAATAATTTTACAGAAACGTCAAAGTTACGTTCGCGCGTGTATTTTTTGTATTGTGTGCGTAAATAAACAAATATTTGGGTTTTCAATTATTTCGTGGCTAAGTAAAATTAATGTTTTATAATGACCACTTCTACTGTTTTGAGAGTAAAGCGGCGGCTTGAGGATAATCCTCAGAATGCTTTGGTTTTAAACTGTAAACGAATTAAAACCGATACTGAAGAGATTTCGCCTTCACTGTTCGTTTTTCGAGGCACTGTTGATAATCAGGTAACTTATTTTTCATTTTTACTCGTAGATTCGTTTTTTTAAGTCTTTAACATGCAGCAAATGTAGACTTTACGGTGTAGTTCAGACGACGTATGAAACGTTTTTTGAGGTTATGTTAAGTTCTAGGAAGTCGTATACATGTCGTCACACACTATTTTTTAGTCTAAATAAATTACACCTTATAGTGCGGTGCGTATGCATACTCATTGCAAAGAATCCATTCCAGCGCTGTCAATATTCCTGTCCATAAATATATGCCGAATTAAAATATAAAGAAAATGTTAATTTTAAGTTTATTATAGTGCATTCGGTTATTTCAATGTTGCTATCCGGATACTTGTAACATACAGTAATATATTCATGTCTTATAACTAAGCAATAGACTTGTGCCTGATTGACTCTTAGAGAGAGCAATCCTAGTTAGTTCAATCGGTCAACTGAACTAGGTCGGTCTTCTAGTTCATTTAGTTCATCTAGTTCCTTACTTAGTTAGTACGTCTTGTCCTTGCTCAGATATCGAATGAACGCTCCAAACTAGTAATTTTATTCACATGAACTACTAATACTACGGACTTCTAGTATTATGAGGTCAATACTACTCTGTATTAAATATTTAAAAATACAATTTGTAAGGAATCGGTACTATTCGATTTTCCTTCATATTGTAAAGGTTTAAAGGCTGTTCTGTGATTCTTACTAAATATCTTTTTTACAAAATAAGAATTTTAGTTAGAATGGTGTGTTTAAAAATCAATATTTAGGTACAACTATTTCATATACTGGTACTCGTCGGTTGATATTATACATACAGATGCCTCTCAATCATAGTTTTATTAAAAGTAATGAAAGATCACTATTTGTCCCGCTCGCCCTGTTCCTACTGTATAAAAAACAGGTGTACGATCAACACAGACAGTTCCTAGTTCGTACTGAACTAAAAAGAACGATGAACTATTAAAACCGTCCAAGACGAAGTAGTTCATGCCGGGAATATATTCCTAATAGTTCGTAGTTCATGAATTACTAAACACTTGTACCCTTTGAAGTTTGAGTTTGAAAGAAGGTTGTAACTTTACATCTTGGAGAGTTGTTATGACTAGGGCTTGGATAAATATGCAGTATAAAGTACACAATATATGTACCTATAATATGGGCAAAAAATCTTGAAATATGGTGGTAAAAAAACAAATGTTTTTTTTTAAATTTTCAAAATTTAATTCTGTCTATTTGGTCGGAACAACATTTTGTACTGGCTTAATGACCTTTCGATGTCAACTTAAATTTGCACAAGTCTGCAAATGAGTAGGTCACGTCTAGGTTGTCTTCTACTCTTCCGCACACTGGTAATTTTTTTTAGTGTATTACAACCTTTTTTTTTATTAAATAAAATATCATGTAATATTGAAAATATGAATTATTACAACTTCCGTGTAGAAATATGATCTAAACCTGTAAATATGGAAAATAAAAGTCACTTTTTTTAATCCTAAATATAATTATTTATCTAGAAAACAAATTATTAATTAAACGTCAATTATTGAAATAAAAAATACATAATTACGTATCAATATGGGCCCTAGCTATGACTTTTGGATTCATTACAGTATTTTTAGTCACCATTATAACAAGCATTAATACTAAAGAGGGACCTTGGAATCATAAGCGTGTGGAAATAACATTTGTATAAAATTGTTTTGAGGTTAATTTAAAATTTTCGCCCAATTATCTTAAAAAATCCCGAGTGTTACTGCTTTAAGGATCTGAAGCAACTTATCAGTTCTTTCAATAGTTTCTGTTTCCTTTTAGGATACAAATCAAGTAAAAGACATTGTTCCAAAATACAATATTAAAACTACAAACAACGCCAATGATATAATAGAAAAGATGCGCAAAGAAAGAAAGGAAACGTCAATGGAGAATCGTTACGAATTTGTCAACTGTAGTCGGGGATTAAATTCGAACGATGAGTCAACTGAAGATACTTTTAATCTTGTCGACTTTCGGCAGAAAACTGTGAGTGAAGAAGATAATGTGAAATATGCTTATGATTTATACACAGCCGCTAAGCAGGACTTTGATATTTCTATGATTGATCATCTTGTAAGGTTTGTACAGTTTCATTGTTAAGTTCAAATTCAAGTCCACTGAAAATCAGCGTCACAGCCTTTTCCCGGCGGTGACATTAGCTTTGCACATTAGCATTAGCACACATCACATCTCTATTTAGCACAACAATAGTGTTGACTAGTTTTGTCGTCATTTAATTACTTATTACTAAGATTTTATTTTTAATTCATTTTATTTAGTTTTTCTGTTATTCTATTTTGTGTTTGTTTTACTCTTAATTTAGTTTTATTTAATTTTATATTTATTTATTTTTTAATTTCTTTCTGTGTATTATTGTGTTGTGGCATTATGTAATAAATGGATTCTATTCTATTCTAAATTCTAAACATGTTTATTCATAGCCAATTACTATTAAAATTGTCACATGTAGACAACTTAATCACAGTGTCCCATAAGAGCTTGGGCTTTCTGGCTAAGGGTGCTTTCAAATATGACATTTGTAGAAGCACTACAGTACTGCAACTGTGGTGCGGCAGCTAGCGTCTGTAGCGCTTTAGCAGTTTTTAGTTCACTAATTGTGACTGCAAAAGTGGCGCTCGCGTGTCACGACAGTTGCGCCACTGCTGAACTTCTATAAGCGTCTAATTTGAAGGCGTCCTAAGGCCTATTAGAGTCTATTCCTGTCCAACTGTAAACCTGAAGTAATTTACTATTACAGCATAGAAAATTATGAAACGGATTTAATATTGGGTTCCTATCGAGACAATGGTCGGCGGACCCCTTCATCCGATGGTGCTGATGATGACGATGACTCCAATGACGAGAATAACTGGAGAAATGACTATCCGGATTCAGAACCCAGCAGTTTTGACGAGGAAGATATGATACAGGCCATGGCAAAGTGTGACATAGGTGTGTTATATTTCCTGCTATTCAGATTTATAGAGATTATAGGTCATGTTGTCGTAAGGCTTCGAACTATTGACTCAAATTGGGAAGTGTTACTGCCCCGGTGTTTCTGAGGCTCTTCGTCGTATATGAGTAGATGTTGGTAATTATATTATCTGTATGGACATGTCATAAGTTTGCTTTCTTACAGTTCACAAACGTTGTTGTTATTTTATACCCGACTTCAAAAAAGGAAGAGGTTCTCAATTTGATTATATTTTTTTATATGTATGTTTAATAATAACAGTCTATTTATTTTCTCTCAACATACAAGATAAATTGTATAAATGCTTACTGATTAATGAGTTTCTACATTAAACCTTATTTGCGAGAGACTGCTGCCTGAGATAGGCATAAAAATACCTGTATGACAGGTCACCAGGTGCCCATTCTTCCATTTATGTTAAAATCAATTTTACATAGATTAGGTAAGTACAGTAAATCAACGGTAAAAATGGATTTAAATGGATTGTGACCAAACTTACTTTAAATTTGCAAAATTAAAGTGGTCCCATTTAAATTTGAATAAAATATTCCACCTCTGAGGGTGGCAAAGTAGGGGATGAATATGGTAACCGTTTTCAATAAAACGTGGCAAATAGATGTAATTCCAGGAACTTTTGAGGTTGGTTTTTTTGGTACTCTGGCCTGTAACCACAGACTATATGTCTGTGTCTACAACACTTGTGGATTATTCTACTTTATCGTGTCGAGAGACGAAGTCCTCACATATGAGAAGAGAGTTTTACCCCTTTGCGCCAACTGCTCACCCAACACAACATTTAACTCCCCAACCTGCCAAATATCCCCTAATTGAAGAAAACATTGCAACTATAATATAATAATTCTATCTGTTAATATCTTTCTAGAAGATGATCTGTCCAGTGATACGGGTGAAGATAAAATCTATGATGACCCTCCTGATATCTTCAATGAAGACGTGAAACTGTATGGCGCAGCTTACGCTAAATACAAAGTAAGAGTACTGTCTGAAGATCCAAATCTCGTAGATAACAGGAATTTAATACATAGCACCAGGGTTAAGGATATGGATGAGGAGTCTATTGACGGTCAGTTTTTTGTTTAGTTATATAAGAATCTATGATAATTCTTATTTACCTATTTAAATTCCAATTAAGTAGACAAAAAAATGTTATTTACACCTGCCATCATTGGGTTGCCTAGCAACGTTTTTTTTTTATAAAACATTGTATGTCGAATTTGGTTAGAGTATTGTAGGCGTTGCTTCATATTAATTTATCCAAAGAATATTTTTTTACATGTGCTTATAAGGTTACGATCATGGTTAACATTCCACATGTACGCTGTAAAGCAACGAAGCTTTCTAATGTACAGTTCTGTCTAATACATAAAAAGTTTCATTACAGGTTACAAAGATGATAGTGACGATGGATTTTATTATGGCCAAGACGAAGATACCGACCAGTTTAAAGAACAATACGATAAAATGGATTCAGATGATGAGTATAGTCCGGATTGAAGTGAATTAGAATGTTAAGCATAATGTTATTCAATACTCATGTTATGTTATATGTTTGCTGAAATTATACATTTTTAAACCTATATTTGTGTTGTATTTTTGTGTAATTTTAGTTTAAGTTGTTTTGAGTGTTGGGAGGTTGACTGCGAACATTTAAAGTAGTTATCGAGATGGGACCAGTAAAGTGGTTAGAAACGTTGGTTCATTTGAAAAAAAAAATAGTTTAATTTCCATTTCAAGTGGCTGTTTGGTATCGTAATTCATAAGCCTTAAATTAAAAAAAAAAACGAAAGTGTACAAAATTGAATGAATGAAATATTCAAAAACAGTTTTTATTTACTATATTTTGATACCTCCAACTCCCACGTAAGTTGTTGTAAGTCAAAATACCATATTTTGCTTTTAAACTTCAATATATCCTTTCTATGTATATTATAGGTTTCATATTTAAAAGTTACAATGACGATGCAGAACAATAATACTTGTAAATTTACAATTTGAAGTCTACATAATGATACAACGGGTGGTTTTATTGCTAAGTAGCAATTTCCTCCGTAATCTTAGGATCTAAAATTGAGATATATAGTGTGCAAAGAATTATATTCAGTTCTATGCCGCTTGTGATGAGACATTTAAATCGGGAATTATATCGTATAGGTCTACAGCAGTATTCCCCAAACATTGTTCTGCCGTGGCCCGGTAATTTTCATACTGCTTCTTCGTGACCCATTCAATACTTCAATATATCGTCTGTTTAAAGGTAAAACCACATAAGTGTCATTTCTACAAAAAGTCTTCATGTAGCTATGGTAAGAAAATCACTATCTTTCTGCAGGTGAAACTCAATAACAAAAAGCTATAAACTCAATGAGTGGTTTTATCTGCAGAAAGATGGTGATTTTCTTACAAGAGGTACATAATTTGGATTTTTTTTGTGGATTTGTGGAATGTCACTTATGTGGTGGTGGGACGAAAGTTTTATTCTGAGGTCTAGTTCCACTTCAACAAGGCGGGAATGT